ACTTTGCTGCTGGCACTGTGTGTATAGTGTTTAGCAGTGTTGTATTACCTGATTCCGGGTATGTACTTTGCTGCTGGCACTGTGTGTATAGTGTTTAGCAGTGTTGTATTACCTGATTGCGGGTATGTACTTTGCTGCTGGCACTGTGTGTATAGTGTTTAGCAGTGTTGTATTACCTGATTGCTGTTGAGGTTCGACCTCAACTAACTGAACTGCTACTGATCTGCATGATATCAGTCGCCATGTATCTGACTTTGCATTGTTGTCACTACCTACATGTAGTGCACTGTTAGCTGTGTTTTAGTGTCGCGCTGTATCTGCGTGTCACGTGTTTATTGCTTTGCGCGGGCTTGTCCATACTTCGAGTGAGTGGTGAGTTTGTGCTGAGGGAGTTCGAGAGAGAGAGAGTTGGAATGGCGGACATGGTTTTTCGAGTGGTTTTCCCTTTTGCTTTTGTCTTGTAGTATTGTCTGAGATCATGATAGTCTAAGTAAGAGATATCTCAGAACCCATCCAGTTGTTGTCTAACAGTCTGCGAACGAGCGAGCCCGACTCAACATTGGCGCAGTGAACAGGATTTGGCACTCGTTCCGAAAATCTGACTGACGACGGCGACAACAATGGCATCGAAAGTCCGCGTATCTGTCAAGCTGGACTTAGATCACGAACTCGGCCATGACCATTACCAGACGTGGAGAAGTCAACTGGACATCGGCTTCCAGCTCCACGAGGTGACCAACAAGAAGAAGCAATACCTGGCCGCGGCGGCGAATCTAGGAGAAAATGCAAGCTACTATTTGTGGCAGAAATTTCCCACGATCCCTGAGGCAGACGACCCGTTCGCGGAACTAATTGGGCTCTTCGATGAGTATTTTGGAAGCCAGCGCAGCACGGATGCCAGGCTTGCTGAGCTGTTCTCCATTGAGCAGCAGCCTGGGGAATCGATTCAGGCGTTTCGGGTCCGAATCGAGAAAGAGATGAGAGTATGCAATCTCACTCCAGGAGCTGACCTAAAAGATGTACTCGGCACAGTCGCCGTACATTTGTTTGCACGTGGCTTGTCTGTGAAAGCGGCCCGGAAGAGTGTGTTACAAGAGGGAGGCAAGGACCTGACGGCTGCAGCCAAGCGAGCTCAAGCAGTTGTGTTGGCGCGCGAGACGCCAGCCAAGGAAGTCGAGGTCAGCTACGCCGCTCCCCAGACACAAGGCCGACCCAGCCTTCCATACACCAGTAACCCCGCTTGTGGGTACTGCGGAGCGACGCACCCACCGGGAAAGCGGCACTGTCCGGCGGCCGACGCCGTGTGCCACCAGTGTGGACGGAAAGGGCATTTCGGGCAAGTCTGCCGTTCCGGCGCAGCGAAGCCCAAGCCGAAAGGCCAGTACCTGAGCACGAAGCCAGGGATGACGGCCAGCCTGGCCATGGCAAATGATTCCCGACCAGCAGCAACGCCATCGTCCAGAAGTCAGGTGTCTTCACCGAAACTTGCTGAAATGGATGACAGCAATGACGACGACGATGCGGAATGTTTCAGCGTCTGGTCCGGGAAAACTGGATTTGTGCTTCCACTACGATCGGTAGTGCTAGATGGCAAGCACCAAAGGGCTATGCGCGTGGATTCGGCCAGCATGGTGACGGTCCTGCCTCAGTCACAAGTACCGAGCGAGTATCGGCTATCGTCATCGCCCTGCCCATTACGGCCGGTAGGAACGTCTCAGCTCAAACCTGTTGGTGTTTTCGAGGCGTGCATCACGTACAACCAGTTCACTGTACAAGAGACTATCTTTGTTGTTGACGACTCCAAGCAGCCAGTGCCGGCACTCCTGGGCGAAGGTGTGTCACTTGCATTAGGACTGTTGGCACCACCTGTCGCTGGCATCAGCATTCATGCCGACACCGAGGAGTTGGCGTCGCTCCCAGCTATGCGTGGACCGGTGACGATTCACTTGGATTCCAGTCAACCAGCGATCCAGCAGTCAGCTCGGCGAGTGGCTCCGGCCTTGCTCCACTCATTACGAGAACAACTGCAGGCATGGACGGAACAGGGTGTGGTCGAGACCGTTAGTGAAGTGCAGGCCACTGATTTCGTTTCTCCCCTTGTCCCGGTGATGAAGCCGGACAAGACGGTCCGGTGGTGTGTCGACTTGCGACAAGTCAACTCCGCCGTACGCCGGCCTGGTGTGCAGTTGCCAACCACTGACGACCTCCTGGCGCAGGTGTCCGGTGCAACGGTATTCTCGAAGTTAGATTTGAAGTCTGGCTACTCGCAGCTGGAACTAACTCCAGACTGCCACCATGCATTTGTCATCGCCTCCCCATTGGGGCACTACCGGTTCCGCCGATTACCATTTGGCGTGTCAAGCGGTCCTGAGCTCTTCCAGAGGAAGATGGAGCAGATCCTGGGCTCGATTGAGGGTGTGCTCATTTACCTGGATGACATCCTCGTCTTCGCTCCTTCTCAACAGGAGCATGACAAGCGACTAGCAGCGGTGAAAGCAGCACTCAAGGCGAACTGTGTCACGCTCAACGGCAAGAAGTGTGCATTCAGCGTCACGGAGCTGACCTTCTTGGGCCATCGAGTTTCAGCTTCCGGCGTCCGACCAGGTGAGGACAAGGTCAAGTCACTCCACGAGATGGCTGATCCGGAGAACGTCTCGCAACTGCGCTCTTTTCTTGGCCTCACCACGTACCTAGCTAAGTTCGTGCCTAACCTGGCTGACCTGCTCGCTCCGTTGACAGCTCTGCTCGCTGGAAACTGGGACTGGACTCCAGCATGTACACAGGCAGCCGCCGCTGTGCGACAACACCTTGCAACCGAGCCCGTGCTGGCACTCTTCAACCCTACCCTGCCGACGCGCGTTGAAGTCGACGCCTCTGGTACGGGTCTAGGAGCCGTCCTCATGCAGAAGCACGACGGTGACGAGTGGCGTCCCGTGTACTATGCTAGTCGTAAACTGACTGGACCAGAAACCCGCTACGCTACGATCGAGAGAGAGGCACTGGCGATAGTCTGGGGCCTGCAGCGTTTCCGCAGTTTCATCACCGGCCTTTCCGTGACAGTGTTGTCGGATCACAAGCCACTTCTGCAAGTGTTCGACCGTGCATACAACTTGTCAGCCGCCAGTGTACGGGTGCAACGGCTCATCCTGAAGGTGCAAGACCTTCACTACCAAGTCCAGTTCCGCCCTGGCAAGTTCAACGTGCTAGCCGATGCTCTGTCACGTTTCCCGACCGAGCCGGCAGACACCAGTTTCCTGGTCGTGCAAGCGATCTCCTGTGCTGACGGTCTACTACCTGATCAACGACGCAAGATAGCCGCCAAGACAGCCCAGGACGAGACGCTATGTGCAGTGCGCCAAGCTCTCCTGACTGACAAATGGCCGTCGACCTCCGCAGTGGCACCGTACCGTGGTCTTCGCCACGAGTTGAGTGTATGGCCGTACCCTAAGACTGACGACTTTGTCATCTTGCGAGGGGAGAGGTTAGTCATCCCAGAGTGTTGTGTGCCGGAGGTACTCGAGCTGGCACATGATGGGCATCCCGGCATCCCGAAAACCAAGGCACGCCTGCAGGAGTCAGTGTGGTGGCCTGGTTGGGCCAACGCAGCGAAGCGGCACGTGCAAAGCTGCGAGCCATGTGCGCTCGAAGCTCGACCGACAAAGGTACCTCTGCAGCCCAGAGAGCTACCACCACGGCCCTGGCACACGGTTGCCATTGACATCTTCTACTATGGTGGAAAGGCGTTTCTGAGTGTGATGGATTTGTACTCCCGCTATCCACTCGTTGCAGAACTAACCGGCGAGACGTCCTCGCGGGTGGTGACAGCGCTTCGCGCTATGTTCACCATGTTCGGGTATCCAGTGCGCGTCATCTCGGACAACGGTCCCCAGTTCGTCAGTGCAGAGACCGCAGCCCAGCTTCGTGACTGGGGCATCCAGCACGAGCGTATTGTCCCGTACACCCCAAGGCAAAACCCGGTAGAGCGTTTGCACCAGACACTCAAGCGCCATCTCAGAAAGTCATCGCAGGCGTCCCTCAAGCGAGCGATGCAAGAGTCGCTCGGTACCCTCCGCTCCACGGTGAATGCCACCACAGGGCATGCTCCGGCAGATCTGTTCCTGCGCGGTGGATTCCGCACGCAGTTGAAAGCTCTGCGCTGCCCCGGTTCAGAATCTGAGGAAGAGGACGATGACGAACTGGATGAAGCCGTTAGAGTGCGAGAAGCTGCAGTGAAGGCCTCTGTCAAGGACAGGTATGACACACGGCATCACACCGCTCCACGTCACTTGGCAGAAGGTGACGCAGTCTTTGTACAGCAAGCCTCCGGCGCGACAGAGAGAGCCACAGTGTTAGAGGCTAATGCTCATGAAGCCACCGTCGAGACCGAGGGTGGTGCCGTTCAGCGCCGTCATCTTGATCAGGTGAAGCCGTGCCGCGCTACGCCCGCCTCAGCGGACACCGAAGTTCCCATGCCGGTCCAGGAAGCGACCGATGTCACAACGCGTCGATCCGACCGAGCCAAGAAGCAGCCTGATAGGCTCAACCTGTAAACTGCTAGTCCCTCCTGCTTTGAAAGAAGGGGAGGTATGTTGAGGTTCGACCTCAACTAACTGAACTGCTACTGATCTGCATGATATCAGTCGCCATGTATCTGACTTTGCATTGTTGTCACTACCTACATGTAGTGCACTGTTAGCTGTGTTTTAGTGTCGCGCTGTATCTGCGTGTCACGTGTTTATTGCTTTGCGCGGGCTTGTCCATACTTCGAGTGAGTGGTGAGTTTGTGCTGAGGGAGTTCGAGAGAGAGAGAGTTGGAATGGCGGACATGGTTTTTCGAGTGGTTTTCCCTTTTGCTTTTGTCTTGTAGTATTGTCTGAGATCATGATAGTCTAAGTAAGAGATATCTCAGAACCCATCCAGTTGTTGTCTAACAGTCTGCGAACGAGCGAGCCCGACTCAACAATTGCGGGTATGTACTTTGCTGCTGGCACTGTGTGTATAGTGTTTAGCAGTGTTGTATTACCTGATTGCGGGTATGTACTTTGCTGCTGGCACTGTGTGTATAGTGTTTAGCAGTGTTGTATTACCTGATTCCGGGTATGTACTTTGCTGCTGGCACTGTGTGTATAGTGTTTAGCAGTGTTGTATTACCTGATTCCGGGTATGTACTTTGCTGCTGGCACTGTGTGTATAGTGTTTAGCAGTGTTGTATTACCTGATTGCGGGTATGTACTTTGCTGCTGGCACTGTGTGTATAGTGTTTAGCAGTGTTGTATTACCTGATTGCGGGTATGTACTTTGCTGCTGGCACTGTGTGTATAGTGTTTAGCAGTGTTGTATTACCTGATTGCGGGTATGTACTTTGCTGCTGGCACTGTGTGTATAGTGTTTAGCAGTGTTGTATTACCTGATTGCGGGTATGTACTTTGCTGCTGGCACTGTGTGTATAGTGTTTAGCAGTGTTGTATTACCTGATTCCGGGTATGTACTTTGCTGCTGGCACTGTGTGTATAGTGTTTAGCAGTGTTGTATTACCTGATTGCGGGTATGTACTTTGCTGCTGGCACTGTGTGTATAGTGTTTAGCAGTGTTGTATTACCTGATTCCGGGTATGTACTTTGCTGCTGGCACTGTGTGTATAGTGTTTAGCAGTGTTGTATTACCTGATTGCGGGTATGTACTTTGCTGCTGGCACTGTGTGTATAGTGTACACACGTACAATTCACAAACAGCAACGGTGCAACCAAATCCTTCCTTGCCGTTACTCGGAGTTTCGTGTCTGAAAGAAGAAAACAACACTTGTCAGACGGATTACTGGCTCTGTCCACTTGACGATGCGCAGCCTGAGGATCTTAGATACCTATGTTGGAGTGAGTTGTAAGTTCAAAATTTACTTTTCTCCCGTCTTCTCAAGCACGGAACACTTTGAGAAATTAGCAGTGAGCAAGTACAGTGGCCGACAGAATTGTTGTGTGTGTTCACGTTTCTTCGCGCACGCGCGCGCATGTGTGTGTGCGTGTGTTTGTGTGCATGTATTTGTGTGCGTGTGTGCATTTGTGTGTTTGTGCGTGCGTGCGTGTGTGTATGTGTTTAGGTTGCAAGTCAGGTGGCTGCTTTAGACATTGGTTATCGCACACTTATACCTGAGAACCTGAAGAGCGTCAAGCTGCTCTACCTGCTGGGTGCTGTGAGTGCTCATGACTACATACAAGTTTGTTATGATCTGTGTGTGTGTGTGTGTGTTTGTTTGTTATTTATGTTTTTGTGCATGCTTGTTGTGTGATAACTTAATGCGCGACACAGACCGCATGTTCCATGCTGTAGCCCACACACTGTGCTGCTTGACATCAGCAAGTCCAGGTATACACTGTGTGGTGTGGTGTGTAGTGTGGTGGGCACTGGGTGCGTAGTGTGGTGTGCATGTGTGTAGTGTGGTGTGTGGTGTGCATGTGTGTAGTGTGGTGTGTAGTGTGGTGGGCACTGGGTGCGTAGTGTGGTGGTAATACACACTAAGGATGATGCATGCCTCAGAGGAGGAGACATCATGAGAACGACAAGCCTGGGGAGTCGCTTCTTTACAACGGCCACTCAACCACTGCATAGCAGCAGCCCATGCTAACATCAGTGAGGACATGTAACCGTGACATGCACTGATATTATACAGTAGGGGATCATGCTGCACACAGATCATCACTTGACCTCTACGGCTGTAGCACATGTGCACTAGAATTTCAATACAATCTGCCTCGTATATTGTTTGGGCATGCCCCTGCAACAGCACGTGTCTTCTAGGATGTTTTCGGCTGAATAGCACGGAGTAGAGTGGAGTGAATGGAGGTGTATGCTTTTGCGAAACGTCTGACCGTTGATCCGGTGTGGAAGTGCATCATGACTGATAACGACAGCACAAGACTCGCAGTGAAGACAACACGAGCTCCAATACTATTTCCTTCATTTTATTTCTCTGTGTGTGTGCTGTAGGATGAACTGCCCGACAAGTTGAGAGAACGTGTTTCTAAAGACTGCATGATCGTCTACCAGGGTAAGACTTGTTTCCAGTTTGGTTCAACAATTCACCTCTACTAGATGGTAGAAGTGCAGACGAAGATGAGATTGCGAAGAGTCTGCAATACAATTTTGTTGAGAGTTGGTTGACTATTGAACTAGTAGTGCTGTTGCTTTGTGTGGTAAAATGTGGTCTTCTCCTAAATCTCTGTTTGTGATACTTATTTTTTCTTCTTCAGGTCACCATGGAGATGCCGGTGCAGCAATCGCTGACGTCATTCTGCCGGGTGCGGCGTACACGGAGAAAACAGCTACGTTTGTAAATACTGAAGGCCGCGCTCAGCAAACTAGGTTTGTGTCTTTGGGCTTGTTAAAACTTTTTAAAAGCCATCCATCCAAAGCTTGGGTGTGTGTGGGGTGGGGTATTTGATTGCGGTCATATTTGCCACTTAGCTCATAAAGCCTGAAACGGTCCAAGTAAACATGAGAAAGTCAACATCTGTACCATCATCCGGTACCCGGTATGGGCACTTGGTCCGTTTCCCCGGGCTATTCTTGTCTATATTCCCACTGAATAAATGGAACCAGAAATGAAATTAAAGGCGGTTCATGCGCTCAATAGTGATGGACAGGGTATGGAAACGTGTGAGCTTTACAGGTTCAGAGAATCGAGAAACTGGTGAAGATCAGAGAATTAGCGACATCGATCGCGGACATTATGCTCTCTCGAATTATTTACTCATCACCTGACAATAGGGCATGACAATAGTCTCATTGTCGACTCGAAAGGTACGACAGACTCACAACAGTTGCACAGAGCACAGCACACGATGACAACCTTGTCAATAAGTGCACAAGATGTAACTTTTTCGTCTTGCATGAGGAAAGCAATGGGCAGAGTACCAGAGAATGTTGTGTATTTCTGGCGAAGCATTCCAATTACTCGCTCCACATGGATACGGACGCGTGATACTTGTCGCGGACACTGTCCAATTTCAGCCTTGAGAGTTGCTTCTTCCCCTTCGTAATTGTGGGCATCGCCAACTCTGCACAGAACATACCAACCCTGTCTTCAACAGTGAAACCACCGTCAGCCAGGACCTGATCACCAGGATTTAGGTGACTAAGCAGCCCGCAGTGCTCCGTGGAGAAGAAGGCAAGGTTGTTCTCACATTCAGGTCGAGTGAATGTGCAGACTGGATGACAACCTCGATGGAGAATCCAGACTTCTTTCCATGTCGCGACCAGTGCACTCCATTTCCTTTAGCTGTATGTGGCAACCTGACTCTGTCGTGTTGATAGTACATGTACAGACTACAGAGTCGATCCAGCCTCTGGAGTGCCGCCAACATTCTTTCCAAACCACCACATCTCTTTCCGCGTAGTTTGCAGAACACGCCTGTACTCCTCAGCAGCTACCGTTACGCTATCTATGATGTCAGTTTCACCAGCCACTGTGCCGGTTTTGGCATAACTGCATTTGGCCTTTCGTACAGATTTGACAGGCCAGATGCCTACTTCTCGCTCCACATACACCGACATAACGACATGGACCCAGACGATAGAGGCAGGAGCTGACAGAGTGAGGGTAGTAGGCCGCAGCCAGATGTGAACCGGAATGCAGAAGAAAACTAGGAGCAACAACAGGGGGACAGACCCCAGGAGGAAAGAATTAGTACATTCATCTAACATAAATAAGCCAGGACAAGCACCACTTGGGACCGTCAGATTAATTTCTCTGGACTGAGCTAGCCGGGAAAAAACCCTCGCGCCGACGGACGCACGAATGAGGGAAAAAACCGGGTGTATAACCCCAAGTGGCAACATGGCAGCATAAAAACAGGCACAACATATCTGCAGCCAGGAAAGAAATGGAAGAAGATGGGCAGACATGAAGGGTGGGAGGGTGGGGACACTGGTGAGACACAAAAAACTGACTGAAGGAGTCAGGCAAAAAGAACGGCAACAAAAAGAGAAAACATCAGATTCCATATTCGCAAGAAAAATAATTTTGTTGCACGAGAAATCATTTCTCGCCTCACTCGCTCCGAGAAATATAACTTTTCCATCAAAGCCGTACTCTGCACGCGACTTTGCCATGACTGCTAAAAGCATCACCTTTGGCATCCGGCCTTTGTGATACACGCGGCGTGTGTCTGCAGGCATGTTGATGATGACACCGCATTTAGTCTCTCCTTTCTCATTCAGCACAGTGTGTGGGTGGTCTGCAGGCACACTACACCGTGTCGATCATCAAGTACCACCACTTCTCCTCACTGTGTGCAACATTGCTATTGTCTCCGAACATCGTCTTTCTCCTTGTCCTACTTGCTGATTGCCTATGACAGGCGGTCACGGCGGCGATGCTTCAGTTACAGCTTTCAGCTTGATATACCGACGGCGTTGTCGGCCAGAGGCTGAATAGCAACAGCAACGGCGGTAGAGATCTGGCTTGCCAGCATGGGCTGGGGTAGTTGGCCGGCCGGCATCGAAGGCGGAGGTACTTGGCCAGGTACAGATGGAACACCAGGCGGTGTGAGGTTTTGGGCGTGGGCTCCTGCTTGGGTGATGCCAGGTATGGGTACCACCTGTCCAGGAGCAGAGGAGGATGTTGCTCTAGCGTAGGGGCTAGAAGACGCCCTGGCGGACCTGCGCGACATCTCTTGCCTAGGCGTGGGAAATTTTGAGAAAATCACTCGACGGATCTGTATACTGCACTCAGAATTCCAGCCCGCCCAGGGACTGGACACCACAACTAGGCAACAAGAGAGAACTGAAACGACGATGTCACGTAGGACAAGGAAGTCTGAAGAGAACTGAAAAAACTCTGGAGTTTGAAAAGACGGAGCAAGAGTCACGCAAGCTGTTGTAACTGCCTTTTCTCCACCTGCTCCCAGCCCAGCTCCCAGTTCCGTCGCCCCTTATACAAAGGGGCGATGATAACTACATTTGAAAAGACTGTTTATTGCAAGACGACTACGGAAACACAACTAGACATGACGAACTCAAGACGAAGACTGCTTTTCACACCACAGCAACACGCGCATGCACCAACATGACGTACACACGAGTTATACCCAGCTCATATTAACCCCCACTAATTCCTGTGATCTATAACTGGGGAATATATCTCCGTATTCACCACTTTAACTTGGGGTACTGTAAATCATATTATTTGAACGACCCGCAAAGTTAACGATTTTCTGATTTTCGAAGGTTAACTGTTTGAAAAGTTAACGATTTTCTCAGACAGATGCAATAATACTAGGAATGCTCGTCAAGAACATTCATTGTTGTCCATCACAGTATACCTCGATGTCAGGAGAATAAAGAAAATGAAATTTATCCAGCGTAAGGGGTCGTCCGTATTTTTCGAAAAATTAAAAAATCCGTCCTCAGGCAGAAAGGGGGTGGGACGTCAAGAGTGCTGGCGGAATTTAATTTTTTGATTTTTCGTACTTTTTTTTTTTTGCTCCAGGCCCGGACTTTCATACACTTGTTGCACTGACTGTGTAGTGTACTGTAGACGTAGTGTAGGATCGATTGTCGCAAACACCAGAATCTACTATGATATACATGACTTTTCAGACTTTTCATGTTGGGACGTGCATGGCCGTTGGTAGACCTACTACTCACTGTACATAGCTACTAGCTACTAGTACTTGACATACATCTACACTGTAGGTGCAGTCAGAAAACATGGGGTCAGGAGTTCTGATTTTCGAGCTGGGCACCGGTAAAAATCGAAAAATTAATGGCGGAAAAATGGGGGTGGGTGGGTCAGAGACAATTTTGCACGAAGACGGATTTTTTAATTTTTCAAAAATTACAGACGACCCGTAAAGAGCGTAACAAAATTCAAATTTTTCGATCTCCTGCCGCTTCGTCAAAATTCATCTGAAAGACTTCGGAGTTGTTCGAGCCGACTGCTGAGCGTCTCTGCTATCATCTAGATCTTTCGATTGTTGAATTCCGTTGAGACTTGACCGAGTTACGATCCGTTGAACACGCGCTGCATGCCATAATGTGAAATGATCGATTTCAATCGTGCGAGGCCCAAATCATACTTTTAAACGAATTTTAAAATGACGACAAATCTTTGCTCGTTAACTCGTTAGATTTACTTGTTCGTTACATATTCATGATTTACAGTACAGTACGGATCGGCTATAGCGTTGGTGTTTGATTTTCGTGAAAATATCACTATAGGCGATATTATTACAATAGGCGATATGCATACTTACAGTCTGTTTCAAAAAGATTAGCAATCAAGTTTGGGTCTTAAAAAGTATGAAGATAAGTGAAATTTGAACAACAAAGTACATAAAATGGCTTGTTAGGGCACGGCAAATTGTTCTGTGAAGGTTTCGGAACAATTGGACCAACCGTTAAGGAGTTAGAATTTCGGCCAGGTTTCTGGCCTTTTCCCATGGTTTATAATTTGCCCTGGAAGCCAGTATCGATTTGTTATCAAAACCCACGATTTATCCCTTCCTTTTTGGCCTTGTGGTTATGAATGCTGTCTGCTGACAATGAAGACAGTTGTGAGTTCAAATCCCAACAAATCTTCAAGTCAAACCTTTTTTCTTCATTTTTTCATTGTTTTGGTGATCACGCTGGTGTTGACAAAGAAGGTGGCTGCGCCAAACGACTTGTTGTTGGAGCTCGCGTTTCCTGCCGAACTGACACTTGACTGGCTCACGCCATGTGAAGTTGTGAACACACACAACACTGAAACCGTGTGTGTGAACACGGAAGTCATTGCGCTGTAGCTACGTGTTGTTGAATACCCTGGCACATCAATCGATCGATTTCTGTTTGAGAATTATTTTAGTAGTTGAAGATCGCCAATTTATTTGAATTTAGGAGTCAACGCCGTCTTCTATCTGCTTTCACAGGCGTCTGCTTTTCTCAAAATGTCGTCGAAGTCACACGGATAGCTTTGCCACATGGGAATGAGTCTGTGTCGATGCCGTTTTCGTCACATCGTGAGAGTAAATTGCATCCGCGGCATGGTCACAAAACGAATTGGGACGCATCCCGCTCGTCAAAATTTACCACACTTTCGACATGTCCTCTCTGACTCCATATCGATACGAGGAAGAACTCGTTTGTTGTAAACCAGACGAACATGTATTGTACGAGTACCGACGTCAGTGAGTTGTCATCTTCATGGTTTCGCGCGGAATATTTCTTCGAGTTCACAGTGGGTTTTTCCAGGCAGCGCTCGAGCGCTCATACGGTAAGACGGCAAACTCCCCGGGCGATCGCCAGGATTGCTAATCTTTTTGAAACTGACTATAGGTATGCCTGACAAATGCGTGTATGGTGTCATTCGAATCAGTGCAGCGTGCAGAAGCGTGCTGTGCATGTGACTGTGCAATACGCGCAGTGCAGAGCTACTTCCTGCGGAAACAAAAACTTCGTGGCTTTTTCACATGAGTTTTCAAGGAATGTGTTCTTTTGGAAGAGAAACACTTCAACACATTCAATCGACATATCAACAATATCTACAGGATCGATTAGTGGGAGTAGAGTCTCAGTCTGGGTCGCCATCGCTCGACTCATCACCGCTGAAACCGTACCAAGTGGCAGGTCGATCGACGCGTGATGTCGTATGTCACGGAGAAGCTTCTCCGCGTCCCTGATCGTCTTCGCTGTTACCTGAATGCCTTCTCCAACATCTCGGCGGAGACCACGGTAGCGCTTCAGCGCTGGTACTCATTACTGCTCATTACTGTACTCATTACTCATTACTGCCTCGGCTACGCCTCAGTTTTTATAGCAGTGTTTATATTCCCATAAACACTACGACATCGGTGTTTATTATACGTACACAAAATAACGTACTATATACGGTATGGTAAGTCTATCGATATACGGTACATACGGTATGATACGGTGGAAAGTCCGTCTACTACACTGTTCCCCCCCCCCCCCCCCCTCAAATAATTTTCCGTCCTCGGAAAACAAACAAGAACATAACACAAAAATTAATATAAACCTAAACTAAGCTCAAGCAGCAAAATAATTATAATGAAACAAAAACTACGTAGCAAACTATGCAGCACATCAAAAAGCTGAAGACCAAGACTGACTCACTACTAGTTACATGTATACACGAACATGCATGCAACAACTGCATAAATGTATAGCACACACACACACACACACACACACACACGCACGCACGCACGCACGCACGCACGCACGCACGCACGCACACACACACACACACACACACACACACACACACACATACACACACCAAATAAACAACTCGTACACTGCTGCCTCCTCAAAAGGTTGCATCTTGCAGGGGAGCCGTTCTTAGTCGCAATCATTTATTTCGATGAGCTTGCTGGCTAGCAGAATCATTCCCCGGCCGCCACAAAGGCTTGCACGTCGTCTGGTGAGTCGAACGTTTTCTGCAGTTTCATTGTCACGGGCTTGCTTCTTGTACTGCGTGACGATCCTCTGAACTGTCCACGCTGTGAGATTTAGGTGAGGGAATCGCTGCTGCAACGTCTCCATAGCTCCTCGAGGTAGTCTATCTCGACCTTTGCTTAGCTCCATGTAGGCAGGCAGGCACAATTCTCCAGCGATGCGGAGTCTTTACATCTGCGCAGATTTTGCGAGGAATATGTGTGCGTTTTTTTTGCAATGACTAGGTGTTTGTTCACCGGCCATTTGAGCTGCAACGCGCTGTTAGCATTTATAACAAATAAATATCGCCTAGATATAGTGATCAAAATTCTTTTGGTGAGGGGATGGAAAAGGGAAAAAACTGAAGAAAACAATTGACTGTCACCACCAGGACTTGAACCCGGGACCTTGGCTTGAGGCCAGCGATGCTCCAACCACTGAGTTATGGTGTAGCTGTCATCCCAGCAGAGACCGCTAAACATTTTCCTCAGACTTGGAAACTCACACTTCCTGTGACACTGCACAGGCTGGTGGGGCACAGCCCTCTCAGTGTACCTACGCAGTCATTGTTCAAAAGACCATATTACATCATTTTTGCATCGGATATAGTTATTGTTGTGATTTCAAGTAGTTACATAGGTTTTGCAACGAAGTGAACTGCATCCATGTCGCATACAATTTAGAATACCATGTCCATTCATGCAAAAGAGCATGTACCACGGACGTCAGTGTACACATGCAGGTGTACACTGCACCTAACTTAGACCCACTCCGTAACCAAGTATGCAGCGCATCTGTGTACGACGCACTGAATCTTTTCATACCCCACTTGCATACATTGCATGCAGTATCGGCCATTGTAATATCGCTTTTAGTGATGAAATACTCGAAATCCCAACGCAATAGGCTCTGTGCTCTGTACTGTGCCGGGCTCTGTGCTCCTGTGCCATCTCAGAACTGCTGTAACTCCACCGGGCCTGGCTCGTGAAGATTGGGAAATTGTGCGAGCACTTTCAGAAGTAAGTACATGTAGATGTACAGCGGTGTGCCTCAAGCCACATGGCTGCATGGCTTCCTGTTGCATCGTATACTTATACATTGTTTACCGTTGCGTAGGTTTAATCATCTACTTTTGAAGTATTTGGTTGCTTGGTGGAGGCATTGGAAAGAAACATCTGTGACCCAGTAAGCCTAACTATGTGTTTAGAGCGTGTATGGTGCATACATACCATGAATGTGTACTGAACTCTTCTTTTTATCAAGTCTGTTGGTATGACAGTAAATTGAGTAAAATCCCAGCAGAGTGCTCCGTGACTTCAACCCCTTCTGCTGTATGATGTGGCCTCTCTATGGTGGCGATAATTTATATGATGCTCTTCTTGGCCGTGGTTGCAGATCAGTGGTGTGACGCTGAAGTACAGTGATTTGAATGAGATGCGAGCACGCCTCAATGAGATCTCTCCCAGCTTGCTGCGCTATGGTGATGTGGAGCTGGCTAACTTCTTCTCGCTGGCCAGCTCACTTGTCTCCTCGGTACGTGCTGCTGCTGCTGTCCTCACACAGCTCACACTATTCCATGCTTGGCTAGTCGCTGCTGTAGTACTGCTGCTGTCCCCACACTGCGGTTCCATGCTTGCCTTTGCCGCCGCTGCTGTAGTGCTGCTGCTGTCTGTATCCAGGCAACACACAGCTTAAACAGTCAGTGCAGTTTGTGTTTCACAGCTGTCTCTGTGGAACCGGCACTGGTAAACATTCTGAAGTCTCATCCTGTACAACGTGTGCAAGTAGACACATAGAACCCTCTAACACTTTTATAGAAAAAGACGTTTGAAATCACGCTTACAAGGAGCGCTGTGTTGTAACCATGACATTGTTATGTTAAAATGTATCAGGACAGAACTTTGTGTAGGAGTTGCTCTCTCCGGGTAGGGTGGGGGTGGGGGTATATTCTTGTGATCGGTCTGCAGCAGAGTTTGTACTGAAGAACTCACTCAAATGGGTCATATGTGTTCATGTGTGTTTGTGTTTGTTTATGCATGTTTATGTGTGTATGTTTTGTAGGGTTTCTATATGCTTGCTTGTGCTTACCAGTACTAGGTGCTACTAGTATTGTATATCATACTGGTGATGTGTACTCTATACACACAGCCGAGTAGTCTTGCTCAATGAAATGATGAAATACATTTTCACCCTATAACTTTTTATTTATTATTATTATTATTTATTCACAATCACGTGGCACTAGCCAATGAAATGGTGATGTGGGCGATAGCCAGCCATGGCGGTAATACAGCTAGAGGGGGGGAAAGAAAAAGAATGAAAGGGGAACTGAAAAGCAAAAGAAGCTAGGGCAGGGCTGGATATCAACTAGTATGTTGCATTCTGCAGTAGCTGTGTGAATGTATTGTAACATTGGCAGGATTTTAGATGTTGTGGGAGGAGAGACCAATGGCGGTAAGCAAGGAAGAGAGGAGATGTTTGCATAGAGGCAGACCGCGCAATAGGGAAGCGGAGAGAGTTTCTGGTGCGCATGTCTTGAGATTGAGCAAACCAGCTTAGGCAGGAGAGAGCATGAAGAGGAGCAATGCCCAGCTTAATTTTATGAATTGTCTGGCATGCCAAAAAACGCACGCGGACCGAGAGCGGCACAGCAGAAGCAAGGCGGTATAAGTCTGCGCTTGGAGTCAGGCGAGGAAGCCGAAATAATATTTTCAAAAGACGCCTATGCATAACTTCGAGTCGAGCAATCAGTGTTTTAGAAATGCCAGCCCAAATTATGCAGCAGTAATCAAAAATAGGCAGAATGTAAGATGTGTAGATAACATGGCGACAGTCGGTGTGCAGGTGGGTGATGTGTGATGAACTTACACGTGCACAGCCCGGCAGTGTTGGTAGGTCTGGGGCTGCTGCACATCAGATTTCATTGAGCAGAACTGCACAACGTCTAAGTGTGTTCTCATGATGTGTCGGTTTTATCCCATGCTCCCCCGCTGTGTGCCGTATTGTAGGCCAAGTCCTCATCTGCCGCCGCCTCTTCCACTCAACCACTTGCTCCAGAGCTGCAGACGCTGGCTGATTTCTACATGACTGACGTGATCAGTCGTTCATCTCCCACCATGGCAAAGTGTGTTTCAGCCGTCAACACCATGTCATAAGCATACCGCCACCGTGGCATCTTGCACTGGGCCAAAGACTTGGCTCTGTCTCTGCGGACAAGGTAATCGAAACCTCTATCCTTCATTGTCTTCCATTGTCCTTCCTTCTCCATGAGAGTAAGAGCATGGCAGTACCCAGTGTGCTGCTGCAAGAACAGGCCCGTTGTTCTTGCTGTGTTGCTTCACTGCCTCCTCAAACACACTGTCACTTGCCGTACTCTAATGAGTAATGTCTCCGTTGTACTTGTCAACATCGTATATTGTAAATAGTGTCAATCTGCCGTGCTTATCAAATTATCATATTTTGTGTAAGAATACTGTTATGTACTTGTATGTAATTTATGCTTCGGTCTACTAGTATTCGTACATGCATGAACGCGCATACACGGTGCATAGTATTGCTACAAGCATTATGTCATTTTAAAATACATGCTTGTGTTGTATGGCTGTGCCCATACCCTGGTGTGTTGTATGGCTGTGCCCATACCCTGGTGCCTGAAACCAGCATCATAGTAGAATGTTTGCTTTTATTTGAGCAAGGGCAGGTTGAAGGGTAGTCAGTGTGGATCATGTACATTTGGCAATGTTGCCATTGCTTCTGCTTTTATGAATGCTGTTGCTGTTGTTGCTGCTATTGATGATCGGATGATGACGCTGATCATAAATTAATCAGTGATGCTGATGATTGTAGCTATTGCTGCTCTTGTGCACATGACCCAGGCCCAGGTTTGTAGTGTTTTGATTGTGAACTAAAACAATTTCCTAGCAAGTTTTTGGCTCTTTACTCCCATAACGAATTACAGTTGTGGCGGGTGCTGTCCAGACCAGTACGGCACTCTTTTTTATTTAGTTTTAGCACCGCAAATTGATTTTGATGGCATTCAAAATAATATGTAGAGTAAACTTGAAGCATAGCTGTGCCGGATGCATTGACTGTAGCTGTGAAGTGTGAGTGAGAAAAGAGGACAAGACGGTAGAGAAAGAGAGACAGAGGAGAGACAGACAGACAGACAGACAGACAGACAGACAGACAGACAGACAAACAGACAGACAGACAGACAGACAGACAGACAGACAGACAGACAGACAGACAGACAGACAGAGGAGAGACAGACAGACAGACAGACAGACAGACAGACAGACAGACAGACAGACAGACAGACAGACAGACAGAGACAAAGAGAGACAGATGGAGAGAGGCAGAGGGAGGGAGGGAGAGGGGGGTGGTGAGTTGCTCATACTCAGCATGGGGCTGATTGCAACTCCGATCATAATGGGCTGCAATAGAATTTGCAAATCCTTAGGAATGGTCACGTAGTAATCATGATAGTCTACCCAGTGTAGACAGGCATGAACACACGGACACATACCGGTAAATACAAAAAGAAAAATACACCAACGGTGCACCACAGATCGGAGCCCGGACCCTGTGGCTTGCCGGGCCCCGGCGTGTATGGGTGGGCTTTGCCGCTAGTGCCGAGAGTCTTCAAGAAAAAGAGAAAAGAAAAAAGGGGGTGGTGGTTCAGTTTCACGACTCCCTCATGCACGTGCTGCCCCTTATCCCTGGGCGAGTGCAAGCATGCAAGCGAGAGTAGCACGGTGTAAACGCTGGCTGAAGAATAAGACACGGTCTTGTTGGTCAGCAAGCAAACTGCTACTGTATACGGAAGGACTAGAACTAATGCAGTAATGGTGCGAGAAATAGCAGGGAATTGATAGAAGTTAACAACTTGAGTAGGGCAAGGTGTGAAGGGAGTGTGAAGGGAGTGTGAAGGGAGTGTGAAAGGAGTGTGAAGGGAGTGTGAAGGGAGTGTGAAGGGAGTGTGAAAGGAGTGTGAAGGGAGTGTGAAGGGAGTGTGAAGGGAGTGTGAAGGGAGTGTGAAGGGAGTGTGAAGGGAGTGTGAAGGGAGTGTGATAACAGCGACAACAACAACAACAACAACCACAACAACAACCACAGCGCCAGAAGCAGCAGCAGCAGCAACAACAGCACCAGCAACACCACCAATACCAGCAACACGACGAGCAATGGACTACAGTTACCAGCCGCAAACTGAGAGGTTCTCTTGGCTCCCTGCGAAAAGTATACTTTGTTGGCAATATTGATGACAGTTGCGACGCAGACTCCATAACGTCCCACTGTGTCCAGAATGGCATCACACCCACAGCTTGCCGCACCTTTCCTTCTCGCAAGCATGTAGGCACAAAAGCTGCAAGGCTTACAGTCCGTGAAGACCAATGTGCAGCCATCGAGGCAGATGGGTTTTGGCCAGCGCCCATTCAGGTTCGGCCATGGGACTTCAGCGAGGCAAATAGGCCCACAGCCACCAACTAATCGACCGTGTTCCCACTCAATCCCCATGCACCAGTCTTCTTACCTCGCATCTATCGTGCCCAACCCTGCTCAACAGCAGCCACGACCTTGTTCCCACTCAACCCCCATGCACCAGTCTTCATACCTTGCACCTATCGTGCCCAACCCCGCTCAACAGCAGCCACGACCGTGTTCCCACTCAATCCCCATGCACCAGTTTTCATGCCTCGCACCTATCGTGCCCAACCCCACTCAACGTTTGTAAGAGAACAACCTCCACCTGATACCACACCAGTAAACGCATCCCCCCACAACAATAACAATAATTCTTGCATTCGGATATGTACCCTGAACTGTCGTAGTATGAAACATAAATTGGCTGATATTACAGACCTCCTTGACCACCATAAAGTAGACATTTTGTGTATAACGGAAACGTGGCTAAATTCGTGTATCCCAGACGAGATCATTAAGATACCGGGTTACGACCTGTTCCGTCGTGACCGGTCCCAGTGCAGCACTACATGGAGCGACTTGGGTGGTGGTGGGGTAGCAGTCTTCTCTTCGTCCGCCCTTTGTGCTATGCGCCGCCGGGATCTAGAGTGCAACAATTCAGAGATGATAACTGTCGAAACAGGAGCTACAATCATTTCCTGTATGTACCGTCCTCCAAGACACGATAGTCTTGCATTCTGCAACTCATTCAGTCCTCTTCACCCCCTCGTTGACACCCGTCCAGTAATTGTCGTGGGAGATTTTAACTCCAAGAACAATGAGTGGAACAACGCAGACCCTACGAACACTGCAGGTAGACACATGCAGTCCGCCTTTGACGACTATGGCTTCACTATGGTCTCCAAGAACCATGGAACGAGGCCAACTAAAGATTCTAATCCGTCCCTAGACCTGATTTTAACTAATATGCCCCATCTTGTCACTTCATGTTACACATCCATGCCCATTGCAGACCACTGTCCTCTATTTTGCGCATTTTCTCCACCAGAGAAACGCCACTCTAGAAGTACTGTCAACGCAGCCGCAGTCTCCAGAAAGGTTGACATGCACCTCCTCAGGCAGAAACTGAGCACACTACCATTGACCGAATGCATGCAGGGCACCAACGTGCACATCAGTTTCAGATGCATGGCTTACTCTGCACTGCTGGACCAGGCAATTCAGGCAGCAACGACCATCACACGCCGGAAAAACACCCAGTCGAACCAACCATGGTTCACAAAAAAACTTAAGACGCAACGTCAGCGAACTAACCGCCTCTATGTGCTCCACCGAAAGGAGCCACTCAACGATTCCTTACGAGCTGCATACAAACTCTCGCGCAACCTGTACCACCGGTCATTAAGAGCCGCCAAGGACACATACTTGTCAACGCTCGGATACACAATGCTTGGCAAGGAAAGAAAGGGTGGCTATGCGTGGTGGAAACGTGCCAAAGCAATATGCAATATTGACCAAACAAATAAAAAGGCAATTCCAGACCTGCAGAACGGCAATGAAATTCACAAAACAGATCAAGCGAAGGCCGAAACGCTGTGTACCTTCTTTGCCCGCCAATGCACCACTCAGTCAACGCCGCCGAATACTGTAGCAACTAGTATAACAATCAATGAAGCCGACGTCGATGGAAACAAATTTGGATTCGGAAACATACGCCCTATTGAAGTCTTCGATGCAGCAAAGAGGCTGCAACAACATAAATCATCATCAGACATCAACCTGACAAACCGTATACTAAAGCAATTCGCAGACATCCTTTCCCAATCACTATCAGTGTTGTTCAACTACAGCCTTGATGTCTGATGATGGTGTGTTCCCGTCCTCCTGGAAAGCGGCAGAAGTACGCGCCATCAGCATGCCAATGGTCTGCTCAGCCAGCCAGCTCGCAGTCGGTGTGGCCAAACGAGATTCGCCACCGCAGGAGCATTGCTGTGGAACAGTTTGCCTAGAGAGGTGCGCACCGTATCCAGATTGCAAGATTTTAAGCTAGCCTGCCTTCCTTATGTATGCCTGAAATAGGTTGTGTTTCGTCAGGTTTTGACATGTTCCTTTCTTCTCAGTATTCTCGCTCGCATAGTACTCCACTTCTATGATAATATTGCCTATGCTGTTGCTCATTAGGATTTTGGCAAATTCTATCCTTCGCTTTCATATAACTGGGCCAGGAACCCGTTTGAACTTGCGAAGTAAAATAAAATCAATCAATCAATCAAAAATCATCCACTGTAATACCGGTGTACAAGAATAGAGGTTGCGCCAAAGAGCCTACCAATTACAGACCTATATCCCTTCTCCCATGCATAGCGAAACTAATGGAAAAGATTCTCTCGGAACGTCTACTTCGATACTTGATGACCCATGGTGTAATTTGTAAAGGTCAATTCGCATATGTACGCAACAAGTCTGTAACGGACCAACTTATCTTGCTAACCCAATCAATGGCTGTAAATATTGATAATGGCACTAATTTTGACCTGATATCTCTAGATTTCAGGAAAGCTTTCGACCGGGTCGACCACTCTATACTCCTAAAGAAATTCGGTAAGATTGCTACAGCTTCGTCAGTAAAATGGCTGAAGAGCTTCTTAGGGGATCGACAAATTGAAGTGAAGGTACATAGCACTAAATCGAAGAAGCGGAGCATCAACTGCGGAGTGTCTCAAGGTTCCCACCTTTCACCACTCCTATTCCTACTCTATATAAATGACCTGCCCAACGCTATGCAACATTGCACGCAATATCTATTTGCAGATGATGTCACCCTCCTACTGGCTTACAAACCTGAAGACATCCTCGCCAGTAGAGCGAACATGCAGTCTGATCTCGATGCATGTCAAACATGGAGCAGGAACAATGGAGGTGAATTCTCAGCAAGCAAGACATCCGTGCTGTGCCATAGAGCTATCAATGATACACCTACTGCAGGAATCCAATACCAAATGTACAATGAGCCATTAACGGTGGTTTCTGAACTGCAACATCTTGGCATCACCTTGACCGACAACCTGGATTTCCGCAAACATGTCGCCTCAATAACTTCGAAGTTCAGATATCGAGTGCACCTACTGTCAATAATGTCCCAGCAACTTACGCCTTCGGCAATGATCATACTGTACAAAGGGTTCGTAAGACCTGTGATCGAATATAGCTGTACGGTGTGGTCGTTTGGATCTAATAAGAAACCCATGACCACTCTTGATCAATTACAGGCGAGGTTTGCTAGAGCTCTACTGAAAAAGAAAAAAATTGCATTTGATTACACTTCTTCCAAATCTGTCTTAAATTCTAAATGCTACCTAGAGTCACTAGCCTATCGTCGTCAAATCATCAGTCTCACTACTTTTCACAGATATGTTTTCCATCATCGTGATTACCTTGCTGATTTCCATTTCAAGATTACGAATAGTGAGCGACGACCAAATAAAATCATTCTTCCCAAATTTAAATCATTGTCTAAGTCTCTCTTCATGTTCCGAACTGCTATTCTATGGAACTGTTTACCCCCCAGTCTAACATCGGAAGCCTCGCTCTATAAGTTCAAAGCTGCCCTCAGGAAATTTACAGCTGACTATGCTTATGCAATCA